GACCTTGCGGTAGAGTGACCCGTGGTGCGGGCACACTGGGGACCCAAGGTTTAAGTCGGGCATGCTCCTCTACAGGTGGAATATTCCAGAGTGGTCCAAAAATACTCTGGGGACTATTTGTCCACCATTTCTGCATAGTGTTGGCTCTGTTTGGACCATTTTGCATTCTTCGTCCAAAATCCGCCGAACGCGGCGCGGCAGTGGCGGCCTAATGCGCCCGGGGGGGCTTGGCCTCCCGGCGCCCCCCCGAGAGCTGCGCACCAAAGATCGCTCCTCGCCTGGGGTCGCTCTTCGAGCAGGTGGTCGACTGCAGAGTCGATTTACCCAAAATTTGTTTTCCTCGTCGAATCTTCGAATCGATACGAAGATTGTTCGTAGATCTACGGAGCAGTCTTCGTATTTGTTCATAGATTCGATTGAAAATTCTGGGGTGAGTCAATTCTGTAGTCGATCCCCTACTCAAACTCTTGCGTGTAGACGAGGGAGGGAGGAGGAGGTAGTGCAGAGGAGGGCCAGACTTCGGGCGGGCGGATTGATTATTTGAGTCCTTGGGTGTTTTCCTTCACCTCGGCCTCCTGGGGCCATCCTCGGGCCCCGGACTATAAAATATTGATGTGGGACTACCCCTTGGGAAGTGGCCGAGACCTCTGGGGAACGCGGATAAGAAGTCAATCCATCAGATGTCTGGGAAGAAGGGAGGAGGGTCGAGCAGAGTCGAGGACTAATGTTTTCTCTTGGCTTCGGACTTCGAGAATCGAGGGGCAGGAGGAGAATGATGACGAGTGGGCAGAGGGGGCCTAGCAGGCGTGGGCTTTAGCAGGAATGACGCGAGTGAAAGCGAAGAGCGGCGTTGAGGTCATCCGGCCCGACGAGGCTCTGGGCCGGCAGCTCTCTCCGTGTCGTCGCCGCCCCCGCCGGCGCCGCTCGGGCGCCGAGGCGGTCTCTCCCATTGTGGCATGGATCTGGACCCTGGGCCGAACCTTCAGTCAGGCGAGAGTGTCCCTCTACAGGAGGAGTACTTGAGAATTGTGAAGCAACAGTATAGGGGACGATTTTTAATGTTTGAATAACTATGTTTAATTCGGTGTGTCAATTGTTATGTTTCACTCCTGGAGGACATGCCCGACCTAAGCCTAACCCTGACCTGCGACGGCTTGAACAAAGCGAGACTTTCTCACCACTTCAGTCGTCTGGAGGCCGTTTGCTGGGTCCTGCGAGCGTTAAACATGAAGGGCAAGCTGATATCCGGAAAGTGGTCGAGCGGTCTGGGGGATCCCATGTCGTGAACAAATCGGCGCTGCAGGTGCTTGTGCACGCTGGGTAATACGAATTTATTTTCATCACCTCCCAGAACAGGACCTGCGCCTGGCGTCGGGGTAGTTGTGTCAGAAGTCCCCGCGTTTGCCGTTGGTTGCAAAAAGCTGGTCGAAGCATTTGTTGAAATATGTTTGCCAGGGATGCAGCTGTGGCAGTTTGATCCTTGGACTCATGCGTATGTAACATGCAAGACCTTCCGAAGAGTGAATGTACCTCGGGCCACCTGCACCCACGTGTCATGAAACGCGCCACAGCTTCCAGCGTCGTTCTAAGAATTCGCTGCGCTTGGCTGTTTCTGGGCCCTTTTTGGAAGCCGCGGAAGCCGCTGGTGAGTTTTGTTTTGAAGTATTAAGGCCACATGCATGATGGTTGAGGCTTCACAACCAGATGGGAGTCGGATGGCCTGCCTTGACAGCCCATTCGGAGGATCGCCCGAATATGTTGAAGAGTGCCCAGTCACGTTGTCACGCGGCAGGAATGTGGTCTCGATGGGCGAGGGGGTCCAGTCGCTGAGGCGGCTCGTCGCGGAAGGGGCTGGACCGGCCACAGCACGTTGTGTTTGATGTGCGCCAGGCTACGGCCTCTCGCGGCGAAGAGGAGGAGGAGGAGGAGGAGGAGGATAAGGATGATGATGATGAGGAGGAGGAGGAGGAGTTGCGTTCACGCCCGGTCTCGTTGCCGCGCGGTGCTGTCAAGGTTCTTCGCAGAGGTCGCTTGCGGCAGGTTCCGCCGCCGTGCCAGCGCGCAGGCCTTTCTCTGTGTGGCGACCCCCGGAGAAGCGCCCGGAGGACCGTCCATGTGGTACGCTCTCCTCCTCCTCCTCCTCCTCCTCCTCCTCCTCCTCCTCCTCCTCCTCATGATCATCCTCCTCATCATGATCAGAATCATCATCCTTATCATCATCATAATCATCATCATCAGTATCATCATCAGCATCATCATCAGCATCAGCATCATCATGATCATCCCCTTATCCTCTCTCTTCCTCCTCTTCCTCTTCCTCCTCCCCCTCCTCCTATGCCTCCTCCTCATCCTCCTCCTCCACCTCCTCCACATCCTCCTCCTCGATCCCCCCCCTCTTCCTCCTCATCCTCCAACAATTCATGTCTGTCTTCCGCCCGGCCCACGTACGGTAGGTTTGCGTCGTGTCGACCAGCGGCGACCCCGCTGCGGACGTTCAAGGGTGAATGCCGCCAGCGGCCCAGAGTAGGCCTATATGGAACGGTGGGACGATCGAAAACCCGCCGATCATTCAACGTCGAATGACCCATGCGGTGTCAGAAACCATCGCCGGGGTCGTCACGACTCGAACCTGCCGTAGCAGGGGGTGCCAGAAGTGACTGGTGGCAGCGAATAGAAGTGAACTTTCAATTTGACTGCGTCTGCATTTGCAGTGTATACCAATCGTATCGCACGCGTGGGCTCTGATTCCCAGGTGTGTCTTTCGATTGCACGTGAGTGTGGGAGAAGTTGTTGCGATTGCTGTTGCATTTCATTGAGACTGTTTGAGCGCTGTTAGGAAGCATAGCCAGAGGTGGGCAGCCTTGGGTTTCCTCGGCCCAGTCCCTTCGCAGGCGCCGATGGATGCGCAACAGCACATGCCGCCCTCCTCGGTGAGGCAGAGCAGGTTGGGCGAATCGCATGCCTGAGCGATCGGGGACCAGGCAGAGCTCTTCACCTTAGTCCAGGACCAGTCGCTTCCACTCTCCCGAGGAGTAGAGCCTGCATGGGGCGATTGGCTGACCGATTGGCTTCCTGACTGGCCCTGGCTGACTGATAGGCTGGCTCCTGGGCGAATTGACTGAATGATTGATTGATGGTTGGGTCCTCGTCGTCCTCATCCCAGGCCCCCCTTTTGCGTGACCCCGTGCCTGCGCCAGTGGTGCTTTTCTCTGGAAGATGCACAGGTGCACGAGATCCTGAATGATGCCGTCGATTGCGCCATGGACGCCGTGCCCCTGGAAGTCGCAAGCTTATTTTGCCCGGCGCAGGAGGGAAGCCTCTGGGCGTGGGCGGCGAGCGTCGATAGCACGGGCCCAGGAGTTGAGGTGCCAGCCCCCCTTCCCGGCTGCAGCCAGAGGCCTGCGGGATCTCTATTTCATGGGTGTGCGGGTGGCGACCCCTTGCTCGTTAGTAGTCGTGACTAACTGTGGATTTGCGCATCCGCAATTTCCCCGAGCAGTGTTTGCACTTAGGGGGTTCTGATTTTTTCTTTGAGGTAATTGGTTGGCATTCTGGGCCTTTGCCACGCTGCGGCCCGTTTCGGCACGTGGGCGCCTCGTCGGCGCCCCGCGCTTGAGCGGTATGCCGTGGCTGCGCCACGTTGCCGCCCGTGCCGCCTCGTGGGCGCCTCGCGGGCGCCCCGCTTGCCAGGGAGGTACGTCGAGGTTGCGCCACGTTGCCGCCCGTGCCGCCTCTTGGGCGCCTCGTGGGTGCGTCGTTCGCTGGGGGGGTGTGCCGAGGTTGCGCCACGTTGCCGCACACTGCTCACCCCACATAGCTTACATCACATGGCTTGCACTGCACCGCGTAGCTTGCACAACATAGCTGACACCCATAGACTTCTCCAGTTGGCACCACCCAGCTTACACGACATAGCTTACACCGCATAGCTTACACCGCACAGTATTTGTCTCATCAGGTCACACCACCTGGCTTACCACAAATATATCGCCGCACAGCTTCAACCTCCACCGTTCAATGACGCACTGCTTAGGGGTCCAAGCTGGCCAACACGTGTTGTTAGGAGATAGTTCGATCAGCGTCGGCGAAGAGCACTTTTGTAGCTTGGCATGATTACAGGTCGCCGTGACTAGACACCCCATCTTGTCTCGTTCTAAGGTTTCAGACATTTCCAGTACTGAGGCATGCTGTCAAGTTGTCAGCGCTACGAGGCACAGGCTCGGCGGGGTGTCGACACCTGTGATTCGCTGTGTTGGGCTGGGAGCGGAGAGTTGCCAACACCTGCGCTCCTCGGCGCTGCGTAGATGCTGGTGGTGCCGGGCTACCCTTTCTTGTGTCCCGCCGCTCCAGCATCCGCCAGCAGCCATCTCTTTACCACGACCATGCCCAGCCAGGGCCCTCCCGGGCCCCACGCACGCCGGTTGTTGAAAGCGGATAAACATGATCTTTCGAGGGTGCGCGTGGATTCCGTGGATCTGCGCTGGGCCCCCTGGCGGCGCCTCTGGCGCCGCCCCTGCGCTCCGCGCGCCAGGGAGGTGGGCCCAGCGCGGATCCCCAAGAATCCGTGGTTATGCATTTTGTTCGTGTTCTATCAATCTACATCTAACGTCTTCCTGCTTCATGTTTCTGCCCGCTTCTTCCGACCGACGTGTGGCGGCGCGTACAGATGCTCCTGGTCTCGGCCATGCACGGTGGTGGCGAACATCGCATTATCCAAATACTAAGTATGATTATATTAGTAGTAACCAAAGTAGCAATGAGAAGAAGACGAAGGAAGAACGCCGTGAACAAAAACCTTCGGAGGAACGCACGGATTTTCTTGGATCGGCGCTGGAACACCCTCCCTAGCGCGCGGAGCTCGCCATGGGCAGCGACGGGGGTGCCGCCAGTGGGGTCCAGCGCCGATGCCTCCTGCCTCATTCTGGGAAGCGGAGCTCCGACAGTTTATGTTTATGCCGTTCTGCCTTCTTCTGGAACATTATCGATCAATAAAAGACCCCCAACCCCGAATCACACAATGAGGACGTAGCCTGACTTAGGCCCTCGTTTTCGCAGTAGGAATCATGCATCTGGGCGGTTGGTCTGATACGTCTGCGGAAAAGACCCCCCCGATACCTGATGCTCTCGGCCCTCCCAACATTGGTCCACCACCATTATGATGCTCCAACCTACTTAGCCTTGACCACCAGAAAAAAAGATCGAGCACCAGGAAAGCAAGCAACAACTCGGGTTTTCACGTGCCGGGCCCTGGGAGACACTCGTCCGACACTGTGTCGACACTCTTTCGACACTTCTCCGGGTGCTCGAAATCATTGCCGGGAGGTAGTCCTCGAGTACGACGGGAGCAGCATGACACTACCAGAGGCTTAGGCGCTGTTGTTCTGGCTCATCAGACCAGGGTGCCTTCCGCGCGCGGCACTCGGCGCGCTCTCGCGCGCGACGGGCCCGAGGGCCCCAGAGCGCGGCCCGCTCTCCCCCTCCCGGCTGCGGCCTTCGGGGAGGGGCGGCCCCGCGAAGAGGGGGCCCGCCGCGAGCGAGGGCGGGCGGAGAGCGAGAACGGTCCCGGGCTCCTATAGGGGCCCGGCCCGCGAGGCTGGGGAGGTCCTCCTCCTCCTCCTCTTCCTCCTCCTCCTCCTCCTCCCTCCTCCTCCTCCTCCTCCTCCTCCTCCTGCTCCTCCTCCTCCTCCTCCTCCTCCTCCTCCTCTGGGTTTCTTAAGAAGCGTGGGGGGTACCCCCCAAGGGGGGTCAACCTCGCCTAGTCGTCCCTCTGCGACGGGGGTCGGAGCGCCTTCGGCGTGCGGTGGCTGCCCGCGGCGGGGGTCGATGCAGGGCTGTCAGCGGGGATGACGCCCCCCCGACGCGCATTGAGAAACTCGGAGTAGGCCTCCCAGATGGGTTCGTAATGGGTGGGGTCGGAGGGTCGCGCCGCATCGCCCGCAGGCCGTCGGGGAGGGAGTGCCCGAATTCGTCTCGGTGGGCCTGGCCCCGCCTGCCGCGAAGTCTGCGGAGGAGCCGGCGGGGCTGGCAGCACGTGCTGGAAGAGGGGAGGGGGGGAGGACGAGTGGATTGCGAACGTGTAAGTCGGGCATGTCCCTCTACACGAGGAGTAGTTTTCAAAACATGAAAAAAAGAGACAGGGGACGATTTGTTTGTACTATGTTCGATGTGTTTTGCATCTGTTTGGACTTGTTGTTTTCATTTGTCTTCCAAAACCCACCGGTAGGAGGACATGCCCGACCTTATGCTAACCGACAGTGGCCCCAGGCCCAGGAGTTCCCAGCTCCCGGGTCTTTTTGTTGGAGCCTCGGGGGCCTCTCCTGGGCGTCGCCTGAGGCTGCTTGGGGGGACCACGGGGGCTTCCCCAGCAGCCCTGGCGGGCACCTTCCGAGCCAGGATCACCCTTACCGGGAAGCTGGAGCACGACGTGGCCAGCCTGGGGCGAGTGCTCCGTGCAGGCGGTGGCCGCAGGTCTGCCCAGTGCTCGGCGCTTGCATGGTGCGGGCATGCCGGCCGTCCGCACGTGCATCTGGCAGGCGGCCTCGGCGTGTTCGGCAAGGGTCAGAAGCACGATCGTCGGGTTGGGCGGATGTGGCTGGGAGAGGTAATCAGATGGTCCGTAGTATCGCGTGTGTCGAAGGTGTTTTTTACACAGTCGCGCCCTGTGTCTTCCCAACCCGTTCCTCCCAACACGATAGTTATCTTTTTCAAAGGGGGGGGAGGCAGCAGGCATGATCTGGAGAGGAAGGGGGCGGGGGCGACGAGGGTGGCGCCCGCCTGAGGTGGCCAAGGTGCTCATGAAGGTAGCCCGGGCGGCTGTAGCCTTGCCGCTTCCCCCCTCGGCCTCGACAGCTCCTTGTGCCCCGGCAGCTCGCACGAGCAGCGGAGTTGACGAAGTCAAGGCGGTCGAAATGAATTTTGTTTCCTACGAAAGACGAGACCCTACCCCTCCCCCCCAGAGCCCAGGGTTACCCACCGGTCGCTGAAGTAGGTATTTTTAGATTCCCAGATTCCCATCTGTTTCACCTGCATCATCGAGTGGTTTTCCCTTTGCTTCCTCTTCAGGCGGCGGGCGGAGGCCCAATCTGCTTCCAACGCCTCCCTGCATGTTTCTGCCCACTTCTTCCGACCGATGGGTAGTGGCCCTCCCTGGGATACGATCGGGAGTGTTGGCTTCGCGTGTCGCTCCGCTGCTTTGGCCCGCCACGCTGCGGCGCGACACGCCGTCCACGGCCCAGTCCCCGAGCGTCAGCGCTCCGAGCTCTTCCCGGCCTCCGGCCCCGCGGAGCGGAGCGGAGCGCTGTCCGCTCGCCGCAGGGCACCGCGTGCCGCCGCTCCCGCCGCCGCGACGCGCTGAGCAAAGCAGTTCCCGATCGTACCTCCCCTTCCCGAGCAGGACAGGCCCACGTGCCCCCCCCCCGAGCCCGGGGCTAAAGGGCCCCCTGGGACAGGTCGATTACAATACGGTAGGTTCATGTGGCACTGGCGCGATGGCGACGCCGGCGTTCAAGGTTGAGTTCTGCGGCAACGGAGGGGCACGGAGGGGCACGGCGACGCCCATGGACCCAACGGAGTTCAATCCTGAACGATCAGGGCTGCGATCGATTTGAGGTCGAACGATCGGCGCGGTGTCAAAGACCTTCGCGCGCCGACGCCGCACGAACCTGCCGCAGGACCCCTGGGTGCCCGGGCGCCGTGCAGCAGCCGTCGCGAGGGGGGGGCTTCTTCGGCCCGCGTCGGGCCCTGGGGGCCCTCACGGGCCGCGGCGGCCTGCTGCAGAGGCTGGCATGCCGGAGGAAATCGGCCGGGAGGATGTTTTGTCTCGGCCACGCAGGGAGGTCGAAGAACAGAAAAAAGAGCACAAGGGGGCCCGGCGCCGATCCAGGAAATGCGCGCGGAGCTCCGACAGTCTATGTTTATGCCGCTTGTTGTTCCTTCAAGAGGGGGTTCGGGGGAGGGGGGGAGGCTTCTCAGAAGCACCCCGCTTCCTAGAAGGCGCGGGCCTCGTCTGTAGATGCAGGGCCGGCGCTTGCTAAGAGGCAGTCTCCCTCCAAGAAGCCTTCCCCCTCCCCCCCCCCCCACCCCCTGTGCGCGCCGCCAGTTGCTGTTTTTCCCACGCCGTCGGGTGTCGGGGCTCGGGTGTGACATGGCGGACGAGGTGGGCGCCGGGCGCCAGTCACGTTTGCCTATTTTCTGGCTTGGTGCTCTCCGCAGCCGGGCGCGCGGCAGAACTTCTGGATTGGGACCCGGTGCTGGAGGCTTGTGATGGCTCATGGAACTCATGCTGACCATGCCCGAGGCGTTGAACCGTCCTCGTTCAACGTTCCCATGCTGTATCTGTCGTAATGAGTTGAGGGGCTTCTCAAGTTTTCGGGCACGCGTAGCAAGCTGCTCGTCTGGATGTCCATCTTGTGTGCCCAGGATGCACTTCGGATTGGTTACGGTCTTCAATACTCCACATAATTCTTCAGTCGGCTTGTCCCTGCCCAACAACTCATATCCATGACGCCATCCGTTGTAGGAAGCGCTTGAGGCGATCCTTCTCATCATCCCTTCTCCATGTTCCCTATCCCCTTGGTTGTGGGCTTTCGGTGGGATCCGCAGGTTCTCGTCGCAGCTCTCAGGTCGCCTGGTGAACCTGGGCTGGCTTTCGCCATGCGGCGCTGACGCTTGGGACAGGACATTAGCCAGGCAAGGACGGGCAGGGAAGGATAGGAAATGGAAAATGGGCAGGTTGTGCCTGTTCGCGCCACATCTGACATACTTATCCTCCCACCAATCCATTTCCATTAAATGCATCATCCCTGTCTATTCGCCGAGTCGGGCGACAACTCTTATCTTGACCCCGGGGCGCAGGGGCCAGAAGGGACCAGGCAGCGCGTAGGGATGTATGCAGACGTCTGGCAGAGACAAGCATGAGAGATGAGGCGGCGGAGATGACTGAGGTGGAGCAAGGAACTGGTGGAGGAGGAGGACGAGGTGGATGCGGAGAAGGAGAGGAGGAGGTGGAGGAGGAGGAGGAGGTGGACGAGGAAGAGGAGGAGTGGTTAAACAGAAGCGAGAGGGAGAGAGAGAGAGAGAGAGAGAGAGAGAGAGAGAGAGAGAGAGAGAGAG